TCCTTGTGAATAAAGACAATGCTTAACAATCCTTTAAACTTTCCACACTAGATTCCTGCATGAAACAGAGCGCTAACAGAAACTTATCAATTGTTTTGCTCAGTACTGAATTATAATATTGGAAGTCAGGACATTCATACTCTATAATGAATATCACAGACTGCTATCAATTTCCAAGAAAATATTTCCACTTGAAGTAGACTATGTGTTACTATCAATTTTTACACATCTTTAGATTTAAAAAGATTTGATGGAGAGTGAAATGTAAATTATTTTGGTTAGATTATAATTTATAGACTGAAACTATTTTTGCTGAAATTTTCTTATTTTCTTAAGTCGATAGTGGATGATGGCTCAGCTTTCCAGGTCTGAATTTGCCGGAAGCAGTTGCATTTTGAACTATTCAATTCTAATGCAAATTTAATTCCAAAGCATCTGTCATATGCAGCAATCTAAATTTAGAAACCCACAGGGATCTGCATTTGAGTTACATCTTATATCTTAAAATTATTTCTTTCCTACTGAGGTCATTAAAACTTGATTCCCATGTATCACATTCTATTGAGGTAATTTTAAAGAATTTTAGCACTTAAAATAAGACTTCAGCAATATAAAACTATTCGTTCTGGAATCTTACAGGAGCTATAAATTTATGACTCACTTGTGATAGAGATGTTGAAACTTAACTCAATGTAAGAGATAATGATAAAAGATGGTTTAATAAGATTAGCTATGGCAAAGTCTAAATGGCAATTTTAATGAAGTTTTATTCTTCCTATCTCAATGTCTCAGTCATAATCATGGGGTAGCAAAGAAATTCGAGGACTGTTTTCTTCTTTTCAAGTTAGTTAACTCCCCCGTACAATAATGACAATGGTGCAAACTGTTTCTAAGAAATAAAATGCAGCTTTTAAAAACACAGAATTTATTTTTAAGTAGAGGCAATAGAAAATTAATTTACTCTCATATATTTCTATAAAAGTATGTTACCTCATTACCTTAAATGAATGAGCAGAAATTAAGTGTTCAATGATTTGAAATCTATTCCTATATATGAAGTCTACATTTTAAACTGTTCAGATAAAGTGAGAAAATTGAGACAATTAAAATCCTTTAACTACTACCCTAAACTCCTAAACTCATATTTGATACAATTCACTTAGCAAAAAGGTGGTGAAAATACAATGTCAAACAAAAGTATATGCTTATAATTTATTATATTAGATAAACTATTATTCAATTAATGAAATGCAAGTTTTAAGTGTGGAGATACAGGGCAAGAGTTAGTGATAGGGATAGGTAGACAGTAAAATATGTGGTAACTAGGTGTCAAGTACCAGGAGACAGAGTGCAAAGGATGTGGTATTGCTACTTTGTGTTTCAAAAAATGTTAAACATTAGCTATTTGTTACTAAGAGAAATTGTGGTTGCAACCAACTATCTTTGTTTCAAACTCTGGTAATTTTCACTTGGCCAAGGTTAGAATAAGAAAATCTTAAAAAAGAAATCCTTAACATTGTTCCCTTTCTGTTGTGAAGAGCAGTGTATTTCTGAGATGATTTTAGTTTTTCTGACAAATTGACAGAGAAATCACATTTGATTTACTTTCATTATTTTCCCTTTAGATTCCAATTTTAAGGAGCAGTGGATGTAATGAATGGAGCAATGATTCTGGAGTCGATGGTCATTGTGATTGATTTAGGAGACATTTGCCAAGACAGAGACAAAGACGACGGAATATACAACCAACCTAAAATCTATCACAAAGTATATCCCATAAGAAGTATTTATAAGCTCCAGGTTGCTACAAGACACAACTATAGGGAAAAAAAAAATCAATTGATTTAAAAAAACAACAGGCCAGAACTTCTTTAAAATGACGATCCTAAATTCATACAGATTCAGAAGCAACTATAATGAAAGAGATTATTTTGCTTTGATAATCTAAATATAAATCAAGGTCTAATTAAAACATTTATAACAATTTTATTGGATAGAAAACTAGAGTATTTTAAATATTTACTTCATAGGTACTCCTATTTTTGACAAAAAAACATGTAACTACTGTGATAAAATGGTCCAATTAATGTATTTGCTGATGGCGTTATTCTAAAACCTGATTTTTTTTTTTTTATTCAAAGATACAATTTCCTGATAGAAAGAATGAAAGGTATTATAATAATAAGCTGCATATTGGTTTGGCAAACCGAGGGAGGGTTAGTGGGGGGACAGGGCCGGGTTTCATAGCTCCCACCCTGTTAAAGGAATGAAGGAGACATGAGAATAACATAAAAGGTAACTGACATTTTACTCAAGAGAATGTTCCATCCACATCCCTGAAACTATCATCGTCGCCTGCTTTCCACTGCTTGAGTTCTCCAGTTTTTATGCAAGATTCTTTGTCTAGTCCTTGTAGAGGTTTGATACTTTCATAACAGAAATGACACACTCGTAACCCCATAAAAAGGACATAAAGAAATATGTGAGGCATCATTACAGCGCCCAATCTTCCTACCCGGTTTATGGATAGAGCCAACGGACATTTTGTCGCTCTACCGTTTCTTATTGTTCTTAAACAACATAAACATTTTACTCAGACGTGATTACTCTCAACCAGCTCAATCTGTACATTTTTTTTACCCCGAAAGATCAACAGCACTTAATGGTACCCTTGTTTGGGTTATTCCTCACCCCACCTGCTCGAAACCTTCCTTTATGTCACAGCCTTTTAAGATAGTATTTTTGTCTATTTTTATTCACATAGCCAGCCCATTAGTGTTCAAACAACAGCTAAGGTATTATGTCTAGATGTGAGTTTCAAGTATTTTGCAACATGAAGAAATGGATATTTGGAGGAATATTAGAAAAAGAAAATTTTCACCAGAAAAAAATTTAAAATACACAAAAAGTTGCTTTTTCTAAAAGAAAAGAAACCATGAGAACCTATTATACATGTTTCGTGTTGATAGGACTTGGTTCAGAAGCTCAATAATTTATCTCAATGTTAAAATGAAAAAATACAGAATTTAAGAGCTAGAACAGATTTCATAGATCCTCTAAATCAGAAATTCTCAACATGGGCACTAATGACATTTTAGTTCTGATAATTCATTGTTTAACACAGCTGTTCTGTGTACTGTAGAATGCTTCGTGGACTCTCTGGTCGGTACCCACTAAATACCAGAAGCACCACCACACCCAGTTGTGACCGTCAGACATTGTCAAATGTCCCCCTAGGGGAAAAACTGCCCCTACCTGAGAACCACTGCTTTCTGACATGGATGCATGTTGCATTCACATCCCTAGAGAGAATCTCTGTTGTAATCCTTAAGAGGTACATGTAAGATGTGGTCAAAATCATATGTAAGAGTATTAAAGAAATTAAAATAAGATAAAGGTCTCTCAAAGGCTAAATTTCTACAGCAAAAAAAAGTACCTTTTGTTTTTTCAGATACTAGTTAAGGCTAGGATAACATAAAAATTTGTTTCACCACTTGCATTTTGCAAAAATACTTTTATGTAAGTGTGAGCTATAAACGATGATGTTATGGACTAAATGCTTGTGTCTCTCCAAACTCTCCAGTGTGACAGTGTTAGACAGTGGGAGCCCTCATGAATGGGATCACTACCCTGAGAAGAGTCACGAGAGTTAGCTTCCTGCCTCTGCTCTCCGCCATGCGAGGATACAGTGAGAAGTCCGCAGCCTGAAACAGAACTCTCACAGGACCCCAACCGTGCTGGCACCTGGAGCTCAGACTGCCAGTCTCCAGACGGTGAGCAGGACATTTCTGTTGTTTGGAAGATACCCAGTCTATCATAGTCTGTTAGGGCAGCCTAAACAGACTAAGACATCATGAAACCAGAAATTTGTCAGATCAGTGTTGGAACAATTTAGAATTTACTGACCTGTGAATATTAGCTAGAGAGCCTGCAATAACACTAAGAAGTAGGTTTATAGCATTTAAGAGCTGTATCAACAGCTCCACCTTTTTTTTTAAATTAGAAGACCAACCTAGTCTCAAATCCAACATTTAGTAACTGTGATCTGGGGAAAATTACTTCATTTCTCTGAGCTTCTCTTTCCTCATTTGTATAATTCAAATGACAATATAACTCACAAGGATGCTTTAAAAAGTTTAAATGAGATTTGGTGTGTACGGAGCTCACTGAATGATTAACATGTTATTAAATCGTTATATAATATATAATGATTAACATATTACTAGAGCTCAGTTAATGTGATTAATAAATAATGGTTATTATTACTATTATAAAAGTTGTGATAAATTTCATCTTATAAAACCTGAGTCCTTTGCTTTTGGGTTACTTTACATACAATATTGGCAGGAAATCTTTTTCAAATCTGTCAGTTAATGGCAACCCAACGGAAGAATCCGAGTTTCAAAATAAAAGTTTCTAATATCTCGTACAGGTTCAGAGATTTTTTTCTTATGTGATTTCATTGTGCTAGCTAACTTATTTCATCTTCCATGTGTACATGTCTTTTCTCAGTCGGGTGGCAAGGATCCTTATAGGAAGTGTTTTATTTTGTTTCTGTTTTCCAGTATCAATGAAAATAAGTGAGAATTATATAATAAGCACTCAATCTCAGAGCCTACATAACTTGCACTTCTTGAATGCCCAGAGAACTTTCACATGTAAACATAATTCAGGAAGATTTACTATCTATCTAAAACTTAGGAAACACATAAACATGGAAGAAGCCCTTAAACATAAACTACTCCTTCCAAACACTTTAATGTGGTACTGTCGCATTAGCCAATTGTTACCACAGTGCTGCCCTCCAGGACATCTGACCCCGGCACTTGGTACTCCTGTCTATATATTCTTCTTTCTACTGGACAATGCTATGTCAGCAGAGTCTGTATCTAGCTACTCGTTTTGCTTTTACATTTTCAAATAATACTCATGCCATAATAATTATCCTTTATCCACTTGAATTTTCAATCATAGTTGCCATGTGAAATAACAGTACCTACCATTATAGTGTTTAATTGTGTCAATGGTTAAGAATCTCTTCACGACAAGATAAGCAGAGCCAGGTTCAGTTAATGAACTCCACCGAAGCACCTGCTCCAACACATTTTCTGTGTAGTGAAGAGGGCGCTCTGCAAAAAATAAAACCAAATCAAATAAAAATATATTAACATATCATTTTTGAATAATTTTTTACAAATCCTTTTAGAAAAATCTATATGCAACAATAAACACAACCATATCTTATATTACAGAATAATAGCACTAGGAATACATAAAAGGGACCCAACACCTAGAACACCATTAAGCACATTATGAAATTTACTATATAAATAAATCTGTATGAGAATATTTGTTTGTCACTCAACTACTTAAAAAAAATTCAGAGATGCTATCCTTTAGATAAAATCTCAGAAATAATGCTACCTTTTGTACAACCAATCAGTATCTTACTCTACTTTTTAACATAGGTAACATTCTGGTTTGCTTATGGAAATCTGTCTGTTTGCACATGCAATTAAATAATTATAAAATGATTAGCAAAATTAATCTTGTTCAGGGGTAAGTAGTAACAAATTAATCCTTTGTTTATCCCAACAAGATTAGCATGTTATAATTTCTCATCGATAGCAGTGAACAACTTATAGTTGATATTCGCATAGTCAATTTATATGAAATTATAAAATGTAACTTCAACAGCGAACATATAAAAATAATCATAAAATACTACCGAGTGATCTATGTTTAACTATTAGTGGAAATATCAAGCATACATATTATGTGGCAATATTATACATTAATTGTTGATATAATAGACAAAAGCAAGAAGTTAATAACTTCTTAAAGATTTCTCCTTGATAAATACTCATCCATATATATTTTGTTTTAGGCAATCATGTTTTAAAATGCATCACAAATTCTTAGCACAGTTAAAAAAAAAAAGGTTTTACAATTACAATCAAAGCTTCATATAAAAGTGTTTTGCTGATCAAAATATGTCAATCAGTTAATAAAATGTTACAACAGAAGCATATGCTGGAAAAAAATTCAAACCTTTTCACAGCCCACTAAAAATAGAATAATTGAAATAGCAAGAACATAAGCTCTAACATGAAGACGCTGAAGCAAATTTCCCAGTATCAATGCTATATATAAGTCAATTCAACTCTTTCATACATTTCTAAATGTAAAGCACAGTGGACTTTTTGTTTCTGCTTAAAGTAGGAATGCTAATGACAAAGAGTATGTCAATATCATCACACTCATATATAAGCCATGATATTTTAATTAATAATAAAATCACAAGTAAAAACAACCAAATATATCATATCCTTCTTAATACTGGTCTCCCCTGCTATGAATATAGCATTCTAGAACTTATCAATAATTCCAGGTCCACAGAAGAAGAAAACAAATTTTCTGCTTCTCGACTAAATAATGAGATTATGAGACTAAATTATGAGACTAAATAATGTACTGCAGTGCTGCATTTTGTGCTTATCAGAATAAGTCAATGATGATGGCAATTCAAAATAAACAAACAAATAAAAAATAAATAAATAAATAAATAAATAAATAAATTATGAGCAACTAGACTATTTGAATACAAATTTCCCTCTTCTTTACAAATATATCCTCTGTACCTAGTAGAGTGCCAAGTACATACATAACAGATGTTCAATAAATACTCAAGGAATGAATTCCTATGGTAGCCTAAAATATTTGTAAGTAGATCAGAAGATAAAATATAATTTCTTATAAAACCAGAAAAAATATTTTGTGCTACATCAATCTTTTTCTTCAAATAATTTTCTAAAGGGTTTGGCAAAGATCATAATTGCTCATAATTTGCCAAAGCTATTATTCACTTGTTGATTAACCCATAAAGTGGTTATCTTCTATTAATGGAAGTTAAATTAGAATTAGCTGTATTTAAAACATAATTGGAAGTCCTAGACACAGCAATCAGACAAGAAATATAAAGGCAACTAAATTGGAAAAAAAGTAAAATTGTCACTATTTACAGATAACATGATAAACTATATCTAAAAAACCCTAAAGGTTCTAGCAAAATGTGAAAAAAAAAACTATTAGAATAAATAAATTTAGTAAAGTTGTGGTGTTTTTATACAATACTAATGAACTATTGTGAAAGAGAAGTTAAGAAAACAATCCCATTTACAACTACATCAAAAAGAACAAAACACCTAGGAGGCAAAAGACATGTACTCTGAAAACTATAACAATGATAAAAGAAACTAAAAAAGACACAAAAACAGGATATATCATGCTCATGGATTAGAAGATTTAATATCATTAAAATGTCCATACTACCCAAAGTAATCTACAGATTCAATGCAGTCCCTATCAGAATACCTATAGTATTTTTCACAGAACTTAAAACAAAAATATCCTAAAATATATATGGAACCACAGAAGACCCTGAATAACTACATCAATATTGAGAAAGAATAACAAAGTTGGAGGTATCATGCTCCCTAATTTCAAATTATATTATAAAGCTACAGTAATCGAAACAGTATGGTACTGGCACAAAAACAGAAACAAAGATCAATAGAACAGATTAGAAAGCCCAGAAATTAACGCATGCTTATATGGTCAATTAATCTATGACAAAGGAGGCAGGAAGGTGAAATGGGGAAAAGAGTCTCTTCAGTAAATGGCGTTGGGAAAACTAGACAGATACATGCAAAAAAATAAAGCTGGACCACCTTCCTACACCATATACAAAAAATAAACTCAAAATGGATTAAAGACTTAAACTTAAATGTAAGACCTGAAACCAAAAAACTCCTGAAAGAAAACATTGGCAGTAAAGTTTTTTAGATCTGTCTTAGCAATATATATACATATATGTTTCCTTAGATAAAGGCAACAAAAGCAAAAATAAATAAATGGGACTATATGAAACTAAAAAACTTTTGCATAGCAAAGGAAACCATCAACAAAATGAAAAGGCAACCTACTGAATGGGAGAAGATATTCGCAAATGATATATCCTACAAGGAGTTAATAACCAAAATATATAAAGAGCTCATACAGCTCAACATCAAAAACACAAGTATAATTAAAACATGGGCATAGGACCTGAATAAACTTTTTTTTCCAAAAAAGAGATATGGATGGCCAACAGGCAATATTACTAAACATCAGAGAAATGCAAGTCAAAACCACAGTGAGATATCACTTCACACCTGTCAGAATGGCTATAATCAAAAAGACAACACATAATAAGAATTGGCTAGGATATGAAGAAAAGGAAAACCTTGTGCATTGTTGGTAGGCTTATAAATTGGTGCAGCCACAATGAAAAACAGTTTGGACCTTCCTCGAAGAACTAAAAATAGAATTACTATATGATCCAGCAATCCTACTACTGGTATTTATCCAAAAACAGACGAATCCTAAACACAAAAAGATATATCTACCTCCATGTTCACTGCAGCACTGTATAGAATTGCCAAGATATGGAAATAACCTAAGAGTCCACCGACCATGAATGGATAGAGAAGAAATGGTACATGTATGCAATGAACTATTACTTAGCTCTAAAAAAAATGGGATCTTGCCATTTGTGACAACATGGATAGACCTAGAGTGTATTATGCTAAGTGAAATAAGTCAGAAAGAGAAAGGCAATACCACATAATTTCAATTTATATGTGGAATTCAAAAGAAAAAGCAAACAAAAAAAACAGAACAAAACAGAACAGATTCATAGATACAGAGGTTAAACATGGTTTCCAGAGGGGAGGGCAGTGAAGGAAAGGGCAAAAAAAGGTGAAAGGATTGAGAGGTACAAACTCCTACCTATAAAATAAGTCACAGCATCCTTATGCACAGCACAAGGAATATATTCAATAATATCACTGAACAACTAATTATAGAATAAGCACTCTCTTTACATTTGGTGTTATCTAATTCTTGGTTCCATTACATGCGAACTCTGGGACACGAGGATCCTGTTAGCAGCTGCCATTTCTGGAATAACAGCTATGTCTCAGACATTATGTATACTGGATACTTTGCAGCAGTCATCACTTTTAATTCTCACAAGGACACTCTTCATTAGGTATTATTCATATTTTACATGTAGGGGAACCCAAGGATCAGGGACATTCAGCTACCTGCCTAAAGACGAACAGCTGCTTCAAGTAAGGAGCAGAGATTTGAACCTCAAATCTATTTGACTTTATAGCTCCAAATCTTAACTACTACACTTAGTTTTAGTTTGGGCAAGTATGGAAATCCCCACATGATGATTTTCTCACATGTAATTTGGGGAAAAGTATCAACTTACCAAGATTTTTTTTTTTTTTTTTGAGGACTGAACAAGGTAACATAAGCAAAGTGAAAAACAATGTCAGTTCACCCTTTCCCCTTATTCGCCCTCACTTTCCCATCCTTAGTGGCAGGAAATAATAGCAAAATAGTTCCAACATCCTGCATTTCAGGAAACGAATGATACTACGGTTGGCTTAGAGGTGAGAATGATATTCTTAACTGAAAAACAGTATGTGGATCGAAATAAAAGCTTAGTCTTCTTTACTACAAGATTAAATTGGTAATGAGACTTCCAGATATCAGAGCATTTATATTAAAGAGAGTCACTAATGAAAGCAGGTACTACAGTGATAGCTCTAAAGTGTTTTTAGTTATACTAAAATATATCACAGCAGATATAGAGGCAAATATAGGTTTTCAAAAAATAAGTTTTCTCCCTCCATCAGCCTCATAGTATAAACTACTTCAGGGGAATGAAAATCCTGAAGATTCAAGTTTCTGCATAAAAACAGAGCTGAAAAATGGGCCGAAAAGATAAATGTTTATTAGACTGTCAATGCTATAATTATAAATGACATTAAAGTCCACCTAAAGAAATGAGAAACAGGAAAAATTGAGTCATCAAGCATTGCTGGAATATAAATTCCTACAAATGTTTTTATTTATAGTTACATTTACAACCATCTGTCATGATAGATTATATGGTATGAAAGTCATTTGGCATTAGGGCATTACTAGAAGTAAATAACTTATTTGCATACTATCTATAGCATAGAAGTTGCTGAAAATTCAGTGTAATTATTTAAGAAGAAGAAGAGATTATAGA